TATAAATCTAAATAAATAAATAAATAAATAAATAAATAAATGTCACCCCTCAGTCATCGTTTCTCCAAGCTAAAGAGCCCTATGCGCCTTAACCTTTCCTCATAGGGAAAGTGTTCCAACCCTTTTATCATTCGAGTTGCCCTTTTCTGCACTTTTTCCAGTGCTATAATATCCTTTTTAAGGTGTGGTGACCAGAATTGCACACAGTATTCCAAATGAGGTCGCACCATTGATTTATATAGGGGCATTATGATATTGGCTGATCTGTTTTCAATACCCTTCCTAATAATCCCTAGCCTAGCATTGGCGGAGTATATAAAACATTATATCGTAAAATTAAAATCTAAGATTCCATACAAATTTAGTACGATCAGAACAGTACTATCTAAAATTTTCCTACCTTAAGAACTTCGGTAAGAAACTTGGCGACATCATTAGTGATCTCAGGGATCGAATCATTCAAGAGAAGTTGACATTTTGACTTGTTACTCAAATAACGTTTAGGAAGGAGCCAAGTTAGAAGGGATTTCCTGCGAGGTGGCTCATACAGGGGGCATTCGACAATTATATGCTCAATCGTGTCCAGGGAGTTGAGATCACAGGGGCACAGCCGTTCTCTTCTTGGGATTTGATATCTGCCATAGAGTATTCTAAAGGGAAATGCGTCAACCCTGGCCAGAAGAAAAGCTCTGCCATGGAGAGGGATGTCGAGATTGTAAAAATACTGGGGCATCTTGCCTGAATGGTTAGAGAGGCCGAGCATGGCAGGTGAACAGATATGAGGTTGGGTAGGGTGTAACTTCTGCAGATCAATATCTAAGAGTCGTCGTTTGATTAGTTTAACAATATGAGGCTCATTGGTTAGGATTAGGTCTTCAAGAGGAACACCAAGCTGACAATTTGTGAGCTGCTGTCAGCTAGCTGCCATTGTATCTGGTGTTACCTGCTTGACACTTCTTGTACCCTCCCCCCCCCTGGTTCCTTTTGGCTTCATTATGCTTACTCTGTACTTTGCGGGACTGACCAAGGTCATGAGTCCGACTCTTCGCGACCCCATGGACCAGATCCCGCCAGGCCCTCCGGTCTTCCCCCGTCCTCTGAAGCTGGCTCAACTTCATGTCCGTTGCATCGATGCCACTGTCTAACCATCTCATCCTTTGCCGTCCCCGTCTTCTTTGACCTTCAATCTTTCCCAGCATCAGGGTCTTCTTCTCCAGGGAGTGCTCCCTTCTCAGCCCTGTTATTCCTAGCCATGTACCTGTATAACCTGGCAACAGACCTGTAGTCTAATAAAGCATAACGATTCCCTGGAACGTGCGTGGAGATTTGCATGCTGCTGAGCCTGACACGCACCCAGGGGACAGTGTGGATCATTTAGCCTGTGTGACCACAGCCTCGGTCTTTTAAGGTGCTCCCGGACTCTGGCTCTTTCCTAGGGCTGCCAAGTGGGGGCGGGGGACGGGTAAACCCCCGCTTTGGAGGCCCGATTTCCGCCGCCGCGGAATCAAGCCCCGGGGGGAACCCCACCCCGGCGTGTGCGTCACCAGGAAGTGACGTGGGCACGCCGGGCACGTTGGGGGTGGGGCCATGGCCATACAAGGGAAAACTCTATGGTTTTCCCTTGTATGGCCGTGGCCCTGCCCCCAGCGTGCCTGGCGTCCTCCCGTCACTTCCGGGTGAAGTGCGTGCGGCATACACGTGCGCGCACAAGACGCCAGCCAGGAGCTCCCCGCTCCCGGTGAAGATACACTTGGCAACCCTGCTCTTTCCTGCTGCTACAGACAGACACTCACAGGGCCGCCCGCCTTGTTCTACCGCAGACCAAAACGGCTACCCCCTGAAACTATCTTTGGTGGTAGATACGGAGTGGGGGGAGACGGGGGTCCCTTCCTTGTGCTTCCCGCCCCCCCTATCCCTCAGCCCCTGCCTGGCTCCTTGCTGTCTCCAGATTGGGACCCCTCTGAAAAGACGTCGCCCCTCCCCTGGCATTGTTTGCTTTGTTTCCTGCCTGTGAAATGGGGGCACGGCCTCCCGGGCTGGCGGGGAATCAATCACTGTCTCTCGCCCGGGTTACAGAGGACCAAGGGGCAACGTGTGGGTTTTTTTGTTTCAAGCCTGGGAGAACAAACAGACGGGCCCTCAGGACCGCTCAGTGGGATTCATCCGGCACTCCGGAACGAGACGCAGTCCCCATACGGCAGTGGCCGCGAAGAGTGCCCGTATCGTGGCTCTTCCTTACAAAAGACAGCTTGAGGCTGATCAAAAATCACAGGCGGTTGTGCGTTTTATTAGAGACGCAAAAAGCAACCCTACGGTGACTCACGACACCATGTTCCCTCTAAACTGTGGCGTCTTGTGCGCAAAAATTCTACTTTGTGAGCTACGGGCATCAAAGTTGTGAGCCAGCGATTGGGCTGCTGCATCCATTAGTTTGTTCTGGAGCCGTCCTTCCTGAGCGAAGACAAAAATGTGTGAGCCGGAGGCTAAAAAACTGTGAGCTGGCTCACACTAACTCAGCTTAGAGGGAACACTGCGTCATGACACTAGAAGCCCTCCCACTGTTGCCTCCGCCCCCCCAAGCACCAAGAAGACAGAGCATCCCTTGCCCCAGAGCCCCTATCTGTACCTTGTGGCTAATAGCCACTGATGGACCTCTGCTCCATATGCTTATCTAATTCCCTTTTGAATCCCTCCATGCTTGTAGCTGCCACCACCTCCTGTGGCAGTGAATTCCATGTGTTCATCACTCTTTGGGTGAAGAAGGACTTCCTCTTATCCGTTCTAACCCGACCGCTCAGCAATTTCATGGAGTGCCCACAAGGAGTTCTCGTATTGTGAGAAAGGGAGAAAAGTACTTCTTTCTCCACCTGCTCTATCCCATGCATAATCTTGTAAACCTCGATCGTGTCACCCCTCGGCCATCGTTTCTCCAAGCCAAAGAGCCCCAAGCATTTTAACCTTTCTTCATAGGGAAAGTGTTCCAACCCTTTGATCATTCTAGTTATCATTCTAAAGACCAGTCTATCATCAACCTTTTCTGCACTTTTCCCAGAGCTGAGTGGGCCACTGGTCTGATCCAGCAGGGCTCTTACGTTCTTATGTCCACATTCATGCAACCAGAAACCCAGCTCCACTTTCCCTGGAAAGCCAGGAGCCGAGGCTCCGGGGACACTTTTCCTGGCGTGTGTCACTTTCCGCTTCCCTGGCAGCGCTTCCGTTTTTGCGTGACAGCTTGCCAGGAACGGGAGCGAAACAGGAAGCACGGATGGACTCGTGTCTGTTAGCGGCACTCTCGATCCAGGCTCGGAGAGGGCTTCATATCGCAGGAAACAGAACCCGGAGACGTCAGGGAGGCTAAAACAACAAGCACTCAGCTCAGCTCAGCTGCTCTCCGGAATCCCGAGCGTGGCACACATTTACTGCGTGGATGTGAGCAAACAGTCTCCATGCGTCCCTTTCTCGGACTCCTGTTTACCCCTGGAGGAAGGCCAGACGGGTTCACTGAACCCGGAGATTGGCACGCATACATGGGTCACTGCAAATCAAACACCGCAGATGGAAACATCTGTATCTCCCCGCCCCGCACTCAGATCTTTTGTCATGGAGTCACTTCATGACTGTAACTAGTCCTTCCTGTCAACTAACCCCCTCCCCCAAATCCTCTCTCTCCCTATACATAAGGCTAGAGGAAGTCTGTTTCGCTATATCCAACGAAGTGTGCTTGCACAGAGAAGAAGAAGAAGAAGAGGAGGAGGAGGAGGAGACTGGATTTATATCCCACCCTTCACTTGGAGTCTCAGAGTGGCTGACAAACTCCTTTCCCCCTCCCCACAGCAGACACCCTGTGAGGTGGGTGGGGCTGAGAGAGCTCTGACAGAAACGGCTCTTTTCCAAGAACAGCTCTAACTACGGCTTGCCCCAGGTTGTCCAGCCAGATGCAAGTGGAGGAGTGGAGAATCAAACCCAGTTCTCCCAGATTAGAGTCCGCGCACTTAACCACTACACCAAAGGTGTCTCAGAGTGGCTTACAAACTCCTTTCCCTTCCCCTCCCCACAACAGACACCCTGTGAGGTCGGTGGGGCTGAGAGAGCTCTTGACAGAAACGGCTCTTTTTCAAGGACAGCTCTTATCAGAACTACAGCTTGCCCAAGATCAGCAGGTGCCAGTGGAGGAGTGGGGAATCAAACCCGGTTCTCCCAGATTACAATCCGCGCACTTAACCACGACACCATACCAGCTTATACCCCAGAATTAATCTTTGTCAGTCTTAAAGGGGCCACAGAGAGGGGGGGGGGGGACGACGATGACTTTATACATTAAACTGTAAGTGCCCACGACATGCGGAGAAGTGCAAGTTAACACCCGTTTAAAAGCCAGCGCAGAGAAGGCGACGAAGAAACGCTTACTCTGTCTGCTTCGTGTGGATGATCCAGAAGAACCGGGGCGGCTGGTTTGCTGGGGTCCGGACTGGGAGAACTGGGGTGCGATCGTTCGGATCTTGCCCTTTCCGGGCCTGAGGCTCTGGATGTCTGGAGAGCAGGGGAGCTTGGGTCTGCTGGTGAAGCCGGAATGGAAGTCACTGTGAGAGAGAAAGCGGAATCTAAAACACAGAAGAGAATAGCCTTTGTGATCTGCAGAGAAAGATGGAAGGGGAACCCCTGGGATGGCCACAGGCATACAGAGCATATGTAAGGGATCGGACAGATTCATGGGAGAGAGGTGTATCAGAGGCTACTAGGCATGGTCACTAAAGGGAACCTCCATATGCAGAGGCAGTCAAATCTCTGAATCCCAGAACC